AAAAGGAGGGGGTTGCAGACCGTAGTAAAGACTGCGGTAAAACATTGCCACCTGCATCTAATTACAATTATGCTATCGAATGTTACACTGCCTCAGCCCTCCCCCCCACTCCGGTTAAAAACAACCGTGCAGGCTCGTGGGAAATTGAGGCAGGCTGCGAAAAGTTAGCGATAGGAACCGGCTTACGGCATTCTGGCAGTTGGAGGCGTGGCAACACGACGATGGCTGCCGAATATCTACGCGGGAACATAAAAAACACGTCAGGAACGGAACAGCAAGCCGGTCTGAACGTAGGAAGCAGAGAGCGCGATGAAATAATGGCTCTCAGAAAAGATTCTGAAAGTGGGAGCTAAAAGTCAAAAATTAGAATATTTCCTTGCAACTAGTTTGGGTGGGAGTCATCGGATAATGTCGCGAAGGTCATCATTAGCTTTGCAACTGACCGTTTGATGTAGAAGATAACTAGCTATACAACAATAGCGGTGTAATTCCATAATTAAACTTATCATTTTTACTGTACAAGATACTGTAATCAATTAACACCTAGTCCACTGGAAAAACAAAGTATCACAGGGGAATAAAATACCACACACGTAGAGTAAAGAAAGAGCTTCAGTTATTAGCGCAACTCACTATGCCAAATAGGACCTTTGAGTAGGGGTTAACAAGAACCAAACGGTCGGTAACAAAGCTAGGGAAACCTGGTATAACTAATCATGACGGATTAAATCGATCCAAATGAAAAATCCATAGTAGCTTCCGAAAAAACACAGAATGTTAAGTTGTGTGAATAAATTTTTTGGGGTTAAATTATGTTTGCGCTAAAATTTAGTGAGTTATCACGTAAGTGAAGGCGAACTGCAGCCGCAAGATATGAAGCAGAGACACCACGGATTCATGCTTTGTCACGACCATACCAAAGCACAATGATGTCTCTAATGTTCACAGCACAACGACCTCCTTGCCACTTTTCAGCTGGTTGTACCAAAGGACAGCCAGGTAATTTAGAGTAGAAAATTCAAACTACGCATTGGGTTTTATCCCGGCACTCAGCGTTCAAAGCTATCTGCTGACAAACTGCGCCACTGCCCCCCCGTCAACAACTATACCACATGTTATTGATAAAATAGTAAATGCATAACTCCGCCACGGCCGGTCCCAAGCCCGGACGAGAAAGGAGGAGGGTTAGAGACCGTGGCAAGTCTCCGGAAAATTCAGCCACCTGCCACTCATGGTATT